AAACCAAAGACACAAGGAAAATATTAGTCCAAAGGACTAATGAACCACAGCCTCCACCAGCCTGAGCCCAGAACTAGATGGTGCCCAGCTACAACCACTGATTGCTCTAACAGGAATCACAATAGACGGTCCTGGGCAGAGCAGGAGAAAAATATAGAACAAAATTCAAATTCACACACACAAAAAAACCCATCAGACTTACTGATCTGACAGAGACAGGAAGAACCACCAAGGCTATGGGCCCTGGACACCCTGATAACTCAGTATTGAAACCACTCCCAAAGCCCACCTTTCAGCCAAAGTTTAGACAAGGCCTATAAAACAAACAATAACATATGTGAGGAACATGCTTCTTAGTTCAATCAAGTATACAAGACTAAATGGGCAACACCTGCTCAAAAGCAAAGACGAGAAGGCAGAAGGGACAGAAAAACTGGGCAAATGGACATGTGGAACCCGGGGTGTAAAGGGAAATGGGGGAGAGTGCTGGGACTTTGCGGGGATTGCAACCAATGTGAAAAAACAATTTGTGTATAAATTTTTGACTGAGAAACTAATTTGTGTTGTAACCTTTCACCTAAAGCACAATTAAATAAAATAAAAAAGAGCTTGAAATTCTGTTCTACAAATCCCTTTTGATCGGGATTCTTCTGTAGAATCTTTGATCAAAGCATTCAGTGATGGTAGCCGGGCACCATCTAGTTCTTCTGGACTCATGAAAAGCAGGCAGGTGTTCATGGAAGCAATTAGCCACCTATTCCATTTCCTCCTACTATTCCTGACTCTCCTTCTTCCTCTGTTGTTCCCAGCGAATAGAGAACAGTTGTTGTACCTTGGATGGACACTTGCAAGCTTTTAAGGCCATAGGCACTATGCAACAACTAGGAGGTAGAACAGAAGCACTGAATATGTTATTAGGCCAATTAACTGGGATGTCCCATGAGACCATGACCCTAAACCTCCAAACCAAGGAATCAATTCCCATGAGGTGTTTGGTTGTACATAAGCAGCCTCACCAGCTACTCTCTTGTTGTTGTTGTAAATATTTTAATCACACCACTTTCACCAATTTAACTTTTTACAGGTGTACAACTTATTGACAACAATGACATTAATCAGCTGCGCAACCCTACCCTTAATCAATACAATTTTTCCATCACCATAAGCCATAACCCAGTACTCTATAAGTAATAACCTCCTCTTGCCCCCTCTCTCCTGCCCCTGACTAACTAAGTAACCTGTTGCCATGGAGTCGATTTCGACTCATGGCAACCCTACAAGACAGAGTAGAGCTGCCTCATAGGGTTTCAAAGAACGGTTGGTGAATTTGAACAGCCAACATTTTGGTTAGCAGTGGTAGCTCACTGTAGCTCTTAACCACTGTGACACTAGCTCTCCTGCCCCTGGTAACCACTAATAAACTTTGGTCTTTATACATTTCCCTTGTCTATAAGCTCATCCATATTGTAGCATGTATCATGATATTGCTTGTGCTTTTGATGTCCTAAGATATTTTCTAAGATTTTCATAGTTCTAACACTTAGATTTATGTCTATGATCCATTTTGAATTAATTTTTGTGTATGTTGTGAGACAAGGATCTAAATTCATCATTTTTCATGTGGATATATAATTGTTCCAGTGCCATTTGTCGGAAACAGTATCTTTTCCCTCAGTGAATTGCCTTGGCACCTTTGTTGAAAATTAATTGACCATAAACATAAAGGTTTATATCTGGACTCAAAAATATGTTCATGACTTATCAAATCCTAATGATAATTAGTATTTTGTCTGCTTCCCAGAATACTTTAACTATATTTACCTCATTTACTTGTTTATCTGCTAATGTTATCGTGTATTTCAATTTTCCATATATTTTGAACTCTACGAGGAATTATTATTATTGTTTTATACAGTCCATATTTGTGTAGATTTACCTATACATGTACATTCCTTCTTGTATGCATGAACCTTTATCTAGGATCATTTTCTTTTCCTACAGGGCATCCTTTAATATTTCCTTTAATCTGCTAATGACGAACTATCTTAATTTTTGTTTGTGTGAAACATTCATGAAGAATATTTTCATTGACTATAGAATTTTAGGCTTGTAGTTATTTTCTCTCAGCTAATTGAAAATATTATCTTCTGTCTTCCATTGTCTTCTCTTTCTTACATTCTTTTTTATCTTTGAGATTTTATATTCTGGATATTCTCTTCCAGTTCTATCTTCCAGATCACTAATTATTTCTTCAGCTTCGTCAAATGTCCCATGAAAACCATGCACTCAGTTCTTAAGTTTGATCATAATAATTTTGATTTCTAAAATTTGTATTTGTTTTGTTTTTTTAAATCTGTGGTTGATTAAATATAGCTACTAATTCTTTGCTCCTGTTTTCATTGAGGGATGGAATTGCAATCTCTTTCCTTGAATCTGAATTAACTTAAGTGACTTGCTTGACCAATAGAATGCATTGGAACTGATGTTCTGGGATTTCCAAGGTTAGATCATAAGTTTCGCAGCTTCCACCTGGGCCATTTGAAACACTTTTTTGGAGAACACTTTAGCAATTAAGGTGCTCTCTCTGCCAGTCCACTCATCATCCTGTGAAAAGCCTGAACCACAGGGAGAACATATAGGCACTCATCAGTTCTAGTTGAGCTCCCAGCAGACAGCCAGCATCAACTAGCGCCATTCGAATGAGTTCTGTTGAACATCCAACTCATTTTAGCCTTCAGATAACTGTAGCCCCAGCAGACAACTCCACAGTTTGTAGTCAGATGTGGGGACAGATTAGTATCGGTGCGAGATTAGGCTCAGTGCTTCTCTTTCACCTATCTTTTCATACCATCCTTCGCCCATCTCAGTTTTTCTTATTAATCCCCAGATTTTTGAAAAACCCATTTTTCTACCCTTTTCCTGCCTCTCTTTCATCTTTCTTTCTCTGGACATGAAAACATCTGTTTTAGACTACAAAGAAAGGGTGGGGAATGGAGCTGAACGCATATTGATACAGTTGGAATTCATGGGAGAAAACACCATATATAAGACGTGCAAAAAATTAGAAAGCATGGTTTTAATTTTTTAAGACCAAAATGTATGAAGCTTTCCTATAGAATTAACGGTGAATTATTCAGAATGTTGTAGAGAAAAACTTGAACACTGTTTCAAGTTAAAACAGAGAAGTTTATTAAGGGTTTAAAACAATTAAATTGGGGAACCACGTAGCCCATTAAAAATGGAACCAGGTAATCCTGGGGCAGTTTTGTTATACAAGTATTCTTACAGGGTAAAAAGAGGAAGAAAACCATAGGGAAGGCAATTACAGGAAAATCAATGAATATTGTAATAATCACACACTGATTGGTAACTGATTATTAATAGTATAGTTAGTGATTAAAGATAGTTTCACAGGATGCTCAGATCATGGTCACAAGATGTGTACATGTATTTTCTTTGTCTTGCAAAAATATCTTGGTGGCAACAGCCCTCAGACAGAACTCTTCCTGAGTATGTGTATTTTGAGGGGTGTAGATGGTCACTTGGTTAAGACCTCTTGGGGCATATGGTTTCACATCCTGGTTTTGATCACTGAGGAAAAATACGTTTTTCTTAAGAAACATAGTTGTTAGCCTAGAAATCCAGATTAAAATTAGATAGCATGGTCAGCATTTTATGCTTCTGGCTCACTAACCGCACTGAAAGTTGTCTTTTCCTGAGACAAGAACTTATGCAAATCTAGAAATAATAATTATGCCAAGCGTACTTCTATAGTGTGTTGGAAATAACTTGTCTTTGTTGTTGTTAGGTGCCATCGAGTTGGTTCTGACTCATAGCAACCCTACAGCAGAACAAAACACTGCCAGGTCCTGTGCCATCCTCACAATCGTTATGCTTGAGCTCATTTGTTGTAGCCACTGTGTTAATCCATCTCGTTGAAGGTCTTCCTCCCTCTTTTTCACTGACTCTCTACTTTACCAAGCATGATGTCCTTCTCCAGGGACTGGTCCCTCCTGATAACATGTCCAAAGTATGTGAGATGAAGTCTCGCCATCCCCGCTTCTAATGAGCATTCTGGCTGTACTTCTTCCAAGACAGATTTGTTCGTTCTGGCAGTCAATGGTGTATTCAGTATTCTTCACCAATACCATAATTCAAATAAATCAACTCTTCTTTGGTCTTCGTTATTCACTGTCCAGCTTTTACATGCATATTAGGCAATTGAAAACACCACGGGTTGGGTCAGGTGCACTTTAATCCTTAAAGTGACATCTTTGCTTTTTAACACTTAAAAGAGGTATTTTGCCCAGATTTGCCTAACAAAATGCATCATTGCTTTTTTTGTAAGCTAAACAAATCCTTTATAATGTAAATAACTGTTCCTTGTTGAATTTTTTTACATCCAGTTTACTTCTTTCCTGAAATTGGGATATTCATATTAGACAATAATTTCTACAAAGGTAAGAGTTTACCTCTGTGAAAATTCAGGTAATTAATGATGGTAATATTTTTCTCATCCTAAGAAGAATGGAGTGTGAAAGGCCAAAAGGGGAAAATCACTTCAAATGATCAAAACAAAAGGGATCTGAAAAATAAAATATTTAACACTGTGGGGAAAAAAAATTAAGTATACATTCTGTTGAAAATACTGACATTGAAACTAACAGCTTTGGACCCATTGCCAATAATTTACATTTTCTCAATTAAGTGTTGAGAACTAACTGTTGATTTTATTATTGGAAGATACATTAATTCTTGGAAGTCATAATGAGAGACTTTCACAATTTCTATATAAACGACTATTATACAAAGTACCAAATATAAACAGTAGTGTGGCAAGAAAATAAATTGGCAGAAATAATTATTCAATCAGTAGTAATAATTAAGACCACCATTTCAAAGATTTTCTATACACAAAGAATGAGAAAATATTGTTATAGGATTTTACAGCACACAATTGACTCACTCCTTATTCACTACTCTTGTATTATTATAGACTATTATACTTCTTTCTTCTTCAGTATTAGTGGGCCCACATTGTCTCCTGTCAATTCATTGTGTTTATTATGTGACCAATCACAAACAGGGAACATCTTAGAACGCCAACACCTACAATAAACTGCTTTAGTAAGACACAAATCTTCAATGTTTATTTCATTTACCACTTTGGGATTTTCCTTTTGTATTTTAAGATTAATCAAGCTATCCTTTTGTTGTTTTTCCTTCGGGAGGAATGGACGAACTGCAAGGTAGCCAAGTAGTGCAAGGACACCAAGAAAAGGCAATAACCGAAGCCATTCTGAAACTTTTGGTTAGCAGCCGTAGCTCGTAACCACCACGCCACCAGGGTTTCCTTTCTTCCACATAGATTCTGCAACTGTTGTCACTGTGAGCCGGGCGAACCTGGTAATGCTCTCGGGGACTGGAAGCCGCTTAAGATACGCGGGAAGCTGCACCTTCACGTTGCGGACCACGCTGTCCAACACCATCCTCACCATGGGCGTTCGCTCCTCTCCGGAGCCCCCTCCACTCACCCGCAGACCTGCCGCGCCTGCGCCGAGAACGGAAGCGGCCGGCGGGCGGGCGGCGCGCCACGGAGTGGGTCCCGGCAGTGGGCGCGAGGGGGCGGCGCTGTTCATTTGATTTCTTGACTGCTGCTTCCATGAGTGTTGAATGTGGAGGAAAGTAAGATGAAATCCTTTACATGTTCAGTATTTTCTCTGTTTCTCATGTTTCTCATGATATTGCTTATTGGTCCAGTAACTTGCTTTACTAAACACAAATATATGGAAATATTGGTATTAGGGAAGAATATTAATGCCTTTTTTAGCCTAACAAATAATATTTGTCTTTCAGGGAAACATTGTTTGACCCATAGCTTATGCAAAGTGATAAAAATAATAAAATGTTGTTTTAGAAAAAATAAAATTTTCGAGGAAATGACTTGACCTATGTATACAAATCTGGGTATTAATGAGCTGTGTTTTAATAGAATTTTAACATATTAATAATCTCCAGTGGAAGGCTTTCTAGGGAGCCTCTGAGTTCAGTAAGAAAAAATTTAAAAACAATAAAATGCATGGTGATAACAAGCACTACTTGATGCATTACGTACAACATCTTAAATTTATTTATCGTTTCCTATGCTTAATGGCGGTGATTATAATATGTATTCCTGAGTGCTTAGAAAATATGAATTGTACATCGGGTATTTTTCAGAAATTTTAGTTTTCTTGATTAGGAAATGTGAAAAATTTTTCTTCAAATTCTAACTGGGCAGATTCTAAATTAATAAGCCCTTTATTTATTCTCATATATCTACACATTAAGTCATTATTTTCTCATATGTTCCTACTGCTACTGATAACATATATTCTACTTTGAATGCTTCCTATGTGCCAAGTTTCATTCTAAGCACTATAAACAAATTTTCTAATTTAATCCTCATGAGAACTGAAGGAGGTACTGTTTTTATGCCATTTTACAGATAAGAAAACTGAGTCACAGGGAAGTTATCTACATGTTTTACAGCTGCAATATTAGATGATGCTTAAGTTTATGCCGAGTCAGTCTAAAAAATATACCTTATTTAAATTATATGAGTTAGATTGGGCTTTATCTTACTACTCATTTTTTAAAAAACTAACTATGAAGGGCTGTTTGGATTAAATTGTGTCCTTCCAAAACATGTGTTTTAATTCTAACCCCTATACCTGTGGTTATAATCCTGTTTACAAATAAGGTTTTCTTTGTTATGCTAATTGAATCGTACCTGAGTAGGCTTGGATTTTTAGCCTCCAAAACTGTGAGAAAATAAATTTCTGTTCTTTAAAGCCTCCCACTTGTGGTATTTGTGTTACAGCAGCACTAGGGAACTGAGACAAGGATAATACAATCAACTTCAGTTGAGTGCCAGATGCTAATACCCAAAGGTTATGATAACTTTAAAAATTCAATTAACTTATTGTGAAAATTTAGCCAACCAAAAATTCCAGTATAAATGAAACATACCTAGTAACCGTGATACAATCTTACTGGAATAGTCTTTTATAATCTTCATTTTCATCCCCACAGCAAAAGTCAGGAATTTTAAGATTGGATTTAAATGTTTTATAGCTGCAGAAGTAGATGGTGTATGAGCTCTTCCAACATTCTGTAGTTGTCTTATAACGTCAAAAAACATGATAATTGATTTTAAAATGTCTACTCACAAAGATACTTGCATATTATTTTTATGTTGTCTAAATGATAGTTAAGCCTGGAAAATCTCAAGCCACTACCTCTGTCTACTTTCAAATAGAAAACATCATTATGTTCTTGCATTCTTTCACTTCTCATTTGATAAACCCAAACATGTACCTTCAGATAATGTATGCCTGCTTCACCATTCCACTTGAGATTAAAGAATTGTTAAATTCCAGAGACACATATAAATCAAATTACAAATCATGTCCTGTCTTTAAAATATCCTTTGAAAAATCTCCACTTGAATAGGCTAGAGAGATGATGATTCATGCCATAATTTTATGTCATGAAACTATAGCAAATCTCTTTTGGCTAAATTCCCAGTCAAATTCTAAATGTGACTTAAATCTAGATGGAACATATCTGTCAAACTCTGTACTCATTTTAAGTTTCTTAAATCTGTACCCATGTATTGTATTTGGCCACCTGTAGGAACTAATTACACAGAAGACTGAATATAAAATCACTTAAATTTTTAAGCCCCAAGTAGTCAATCTTTTTTGCAACAGTTCTGGGAGATGCAATTATTGTATCAATCACTATATAATTTTTGCTTTTTAATTCAGTTTTATGCGTTTCTGTATCTAGCATAGAGGATTTTGTTTAAAAACAAGAAGAACTACAATTTGAGGGCCTACTATATGCTGTGTGGAAACCCTGGTGGCGTACTGGTTAAGAGCTATGGCTGCTAACCAAAAGATTGGCAGTTCAAGTCCACCAGGTGCTCCTTGGAAACTCTATAGGGTAGTTCTACTCTGTCCTGTAGGGTCGCTACGAGTTGGAATTGACTTGACGTCAGCGTTTTTGTTTGTTTGCTTGTTTGTTTTGGTGTATGCCATGTACATTACATATGTTATTGCCAATCATCTTCACAATTTTGAAGATAAGTGTTGCCCATAGGCAAAAGTAGTCCTCTTTGTTCTCTTCCTTTGTCCTCTGACTTACTCCACAGGAAGAGTTTCTATGGGTTGGTTTGGTTTACTTCAAGAAACATTGCATTGGCTATGACTAGTGGCTTGGTATGTATGGCCATTTATCAAACGCCCTGCGAGGACTGGGGTAGTAATAAGAGCAAAGAGGTCTTTCTCTTCTTTTCAGTTCTGCACTCATGAGGTTATGGAATTAAGGCTTAGGACTTGGTAGAAACCTAAACCACCTTTCCTTTCTCTGTCTCCTTTGGTCTCTTTTTTCTCAGGTGACACAATCAAACTCAGTGTCTTGCCCTAGCATGAGAAGGCCTGGGGTGGACATTTCTGTGCTCAGGGAACAATTTTTATCTTTTGTTATTTTTCCCTTGTTTTCTAGCTCTGGCAGGTGTCATTTTCATACCACTGGAGTGACACATTTTGAGAGCTGGATGTAAGCCAGTGGGTTGAGGGAGGAAGAAGAGAATAGATTTGCTGTTTGACTTGCTTTGACTCTTGGTTTTAGTAGCCTCCAGCATAAGAAAGTTCTACCCTTCTTATGGTTCAGAGCTCTGGAGTTTTACATAAGGGTTTGGGAGCCAAAGATCCAGCTAACAACGAAGTATTACTTTGTCTTGCTTTGTCTCTGTTGTGCATGTAGCTCCCTGAGCACTATCACAGAGGGGAGTGACTGTGCCAAGGCTGAACTTAGATATTCCTGGCTAAATACCACCCAACACCATCTTGATATCGTTCCATTATTATAATGTTAACAAGCTCTAACAGCAGACATCAACTGTATTATATGCCAGGCTCTGTTTTAACTTATTTAATCCTCACAACAAATTCATTGCCTATGAAATGAAATAAATTCATCCCGAGTTGAAAAACACTATATTCTGGATGTTGGCAGTAATAAAGGAGTTAAAATTTAAGAAACGGTAACCTGTCAGGGGTGCAGGCCTCCTTAGTGTTGGTAAGAACAGTTTAAGTTCTTAGCTGAAGCTCAATCTGAAAATTATAGCAATCACTTAAATTCATATATGGTGTCATTACTTGAGGGGAAAAAATTGCAATTTTATTCCCTATATCTCCATCTTTTAATCAATAAGGCTATCAATCTGTGTTCATTTTGTGCAATAATAACTCCAAATTATTTTTAAAAGGGTTTTTCATCTTAGGTTAGTTGAACAAACCAAGCACTTTCTCCCATAAACACTCAGCACTTATCTTACAAACCTGAACAATGGGAACTGAGGGAAGAAATGTTACTTTCTACCCATCACAGTCACAGATTTTTACTTGTAGATCATAAATCAAGACTGTCAGCCAACTTCCACTAAATACTCTACAAATAAAATCATTTTAGAAGACTGGAGGTCATAAAAACCAAAACCCATTGCTGTCAAGTCGACCCCAACTCATAGCGACCCTATGATAAAGCAACTTACACTGTTCTAATGAAGCTCTCCATATCTTGTGTTGTATGATGGATCAAAGGCTCTACAGACTATTAGGGAAGAAGTAAAACAAAAGCAGGGCAAAAGTTGAAACTGGATACAGAGGAGGGCACAAGCAAGTCAACAAGACCTAGTAAAATAAAGTAAAAGCAGAAGCAGAGGTCAGCCAAGAACAGAAACCAAGTCACCCAAAGGATGCAATAAAAACTTGTTAGTTGACTTCAAGTCGATTCCAACATATGGCGACCCCATGTGTGCAGAGTAGAACTGCTCCATAGGGTTTTCAAGACTGTGACCTTTTGGAAGCCTGTCTTCAGAGGTGCCTCTGGGTGGGTTCAAACCCCTAACCTTTTGGCTAGTAGTCAAGCACTTAACCGTTTGTACCACATAAGGACTCCACAATAAAACTACTAGAGATAAACAGAAAAAACAGAGTTCTAAAAGAGAGTTATGCTTTAGGTAGCTTGGGCTAAAAGGGTGAAATTAAGGGAGAGCAAAAAAAATACATAAATAAATAAAAGGTTTCCGTGGAATCCAGCAAAGCTGTACTGTGGCAACCTCTATTTTGGAACATAAAAGCTTATATAGATGTTCCTTCCTTAGCTTTGAAGGCACAGTTCTCTGAACCTGGCATTTGACAGAGCCTAAAGTCAGACTCCTATGAATGAGATATATTGATTTTGTGCCCTAAATACAAATGTCATCCTTCTGTCTCTTAAAAGCACTCAGGTGGTTGCAAAAGGCACTGAGCCAGAAAGCATGAGCATAGATGTAAATCTATCCCTACTAATAAGCAACAACTCAAGGTACATGACCCACCAGCATTAAAACAGCAGAGCCCTATTTGTATCAAGTTACTAAGTGCAGGAATAGGCTCATTTGCAATAGTTCTGCCATTTGGCTATTTCTAAATGT